AACCAATCAAATATTTTGGGCTCAAATTTAGAAAGGTAGCAGTTTGTAAATGCATTCTAGTATAATTGCCAATTTAATATGTATAGAAAAACTCTTATAGAAATTCAAGAATACGGAATTATCACAATTTATGGGATATCAATCCACAAATAAACATTTCACAACAATACTATAATCAATTGCAAAAATGTCAATTTTTAAATAATAAGGCAGTCATTTGCGCATGAATTTTACAATGTCTAAATATTCAAAACAGTAGAAAGAAATATCACAATTTTACTAAAAGCAGAAATATCAAATTTATTTCTAACAATAGACAAAAAAAATAAATAAATTTATTTTTCTAATTTACAGCATTCAAAATTTCTAACATAGATAAAATATCACAATTTTTATTAAAAAGATTATTTTTCAAGATAATGAGGTCACGTGCGCATAAAATTTATCGCGCCTAAAATTCATGATAATAAGCAAAAATAATTATTTCATTTTATTTTTAAAAAGAATGGATTATTTTTCGAGACAATGAGGTCACTTACACACAAAACTTATAAAATAAAGATCCTAGAAGGAAATATCACTATTTATTAAAAACAGACTATTTTTCAGGAAGACGATGTCACTTACCCACAAATATTTGAGAGGGGGCTTCCGATATAAAATTCGGTTCGAGAGAGGAGTTCACTGTGTTTCGACCAGAGAGAGAGAGAGATCTCAAAATTTTCTAGGGTGGGAGTGCTCACCTCCCTATTTAAATTCTTATAACGTATTATTATATTATTTTGTTAGGCTCTACCTCATACCTGAGGTGTCGCGTTAAGAGTCTGTTTTTAACATATGAAAACCACATCCACTAAAGGACGTGGCAAGCAGCAAGCAAAAGTTTAAACCAAGTAAAAACTTTTGAAAATAGTGATGGTCACCAAGGACCATCATACTCAAACAGACCATCACCTATTTAAAAGTATATTTTTCTTCTTTTTTTTTTTTTTTTTTTTTTTGAAATTTTAGGACTGTTACAGTGGTGCAGAGGGCTTTTATGGCGGCGATCATTTCATAGCTCTAGGATGAAAGAAATAGTAGAGTGTCTGAAGGTTGGTGCTTTAGATAGATAAAATTGGTGCTCGAATCATGGAGCCCATGATCATGTAGGTGCTTGTTAGGAAAGAATGCTCGGGGTTTATCGAGATTAGATTTTATAAAAAATTTGGAGGACATAGTGAAGATGCATATCCTGAAGAGAAGACCAATTATGTATTGGAAATCACCTACAAATGGTGTAGTAAAGTCAGACTTCGATAGGAGTTCTTTGGGTAATCTTGGACATGGTATTGGAGGCCTTTTTAGAGATCATTTAGGTAGAGTGTTATTTTTTTGTTACATTCTTGAAGCCATGTGGAGTTTCTTCAGCTAATGAGGTAAGAGTTCAAAGTTGTTTACTATATAGTTAGGCAGAAGGAGTTGGGCCTGGTGGTAAATGTAGAGGGGGATTCTTTGAATGCCAATAAAAAGTGCAAGAAGGAATACAAAATCTTGTTCTTTCTTAGATCTATTTGGTTTGAAAAAAAGTGCAAGAAGGAACACAAAATCTTGTTCTCTCTAAGATCTATTTGGTTTGAAATTGTTGACATTTGCAAGAGGTAAGAAGTGACCTTTGCTCATAGTTACAAAGAACTACTTACCCAAATTCTTTTTTTTTTACAAAGAACCAATAGAGAGGTGGATGTTTGGCTAACCACCTATTGTGAATTAACTACTCTCCACCATTAATATAAGGGTACGGTTTGTATAGAGCCTAGGCTCTAAACGATCAAATTGGAGCCTACCTTCAAATAGTATCGAGAAATGTGGTTTCAATATTGGAAATCTTTGTGATAGCCTTAAAATATATTTTTATCTTTATTCATAAAGTTTAAAGTTTAAAAAATAGTGTAGATCAACTAATCTATGAAAACCTTGAAAATTGACGGTCCAAAAAATGCGTTACAAAATACACTATTTCCAAAACATGAAATCTAATTTTTTTTGATGTCCATGCATCTTGATGTCGAGATGATCAATTTGAGGATATTTGAGCATCAAAACAACCTCTTCTAGTGAATTTTTTTTTATAAGCTTAAATTTGAGTGTTCAGAGCCTCAGCTCTAGATAAACTTTTCCCTTAATATAACTTCTCACTAGCAGTAACTACCCATATGCATTTTGAGACAGAATAGAGGATAACTACTATTAACCAACAATAACTAATATGACTCCACTTAAAGAGATAATGAGAGACACATGACCCGTTCTTAATTTTTTGCATCAATCTTCAACAGAAGGGAAAGGGTGCATTTGCATAGAGAGAGAGAGTTGGGAGAGAGATGCTTTCACGTCAAACCCGTCCAAAAAAATAGGTGGTTTTGGATTTTTAAAATCGCTTTGTTTTCTCCACCTCAGAGGTGGGAAATTCTTTTCACATGAATGAAGCCTTTTTTGTGGTAAAACTCTTTCACTCTGAACAAGTTTTCATATGTCTAACTAATCAAATACGGGCAACCACAGTCTTTATATGAAAAAAGTTTGATGATGACTGTTTTCATGAAATTGAAAATTTGATCACATGAAATTTACATGAATGTTACATGAAATTGTAAATTTGATTATTATAGTACTTCAATCTCAACTTGGACCCGACCAGAGGTGACTGGCTTCTGGATGAACACAGACCCGACCAACAACGTCCATAAAAAAACTAGAGTACATACCATTACCGAGTCTAGTCGAACCGCCGAGTTTGCTCGACCTGGTTGCCAACCCAGCATCTAATGGGGACAACCATAACTATCTGGTTCATTGTTCCTGTTATGATCACATGAATCATACCATTCTATATTTTCCCTTTCAAGCCCAATGTCTCTCTTACTTTTACCATGTCCAAGCTTTCTCTTGTTGTTCATAAACAGAAGCCAACTCCTCACCTGGTAGGGGTGTCAATGGACTCAGGCCCCATCTTGAATCCGAGGGTAGACTTGATCTAAGTCTAGATGTGGATCTAAAAATTGAGCGGGATGGGTTGGGTTTGGTTCCAAACCTTTTATAGATTGGTTCCAAATCTAGATTTGTGTCCTGTAATATTTTTTGGGTCCCAATATATAAAATATGTTTAAATATAGCTAAATACATAAAATTGAGAAAAATTTATAAAAAATACTTTAAAATGGATTGTCTATGCAACTTACCCCACCTCAATCTTTTCTTACTTTTTTCCTTATGCAAATAACCCCCAACCTAAAAGTAACATGAAATAAGACTAAACTACTCTTTTTTGTTTTTACACGGCCTTCTCTCTCCTGTTTTGGCATTACAAACACATATTCCCGCATTAGGCATTCCGCTCCGGCAATAAAGTTTCTGGAGCGATAGCGCTCTGGCAAGAGAGGACCGCGCTCTTACAGTATACACAAGCACTCCGACAATGTAGGTTTGAGCCACAACGCTTCGGTATTATGAGAATGCGGTCCAGCAGTGCAAAGACGCGCACTGACTGTGAAAAGAGGCTCTTCGGCAGTACACTACTTGGACCGACGAATTATTTGGTTTGTAAGAGAAGAAAGTGTGGGGTTTTGTAAGGAAAGATTGTTTCGAGTAAAAAAAAAAAATGAGAGGAAAAAAGAAAAAGAAAAAATTGAAGATGGGGCAAGTTGCATAGATAATCCATCTTAATGTGTTTTTTTTTTTTTTTGTAATTTTCCGAGGTTGGTCCCCTCGGGTGCTGGACCCGACCCAATCCAACTTCCAGACCTACAGTGACTCTTCTCTCTCTCTACATGGCACCATGTAACCCTCGATTGAGCCGGTTCCTGCTAATTTTTTCTCCCTGTCATGGCGAAAAAAGACCAATATTCATGCAAAAACTCCCCAAAATTGATCAACTTTTTCCAAGATCATGGTTTTACTGGTGAAATTCCTCTTCCCAAGAAAACCCAATTTACTATTGGCTTTGTTGGTCTTGGATTAGGCATCAGCTACTTTTACAGAGCCCACTCTATGAGATACCTAGCCACAACCATTAAACTTGCAGACAAAGCTCTAAAAGGTATGAGAACCCTTCACAAACTTCAATATCCTTCTCCTTACACCTTTGTCGTTGCTTGTAAAGCCCTGATCAAGGGGTACAATGTGTCAAAACGCTTGAATTTAGTGAATAGCAGCAATAGGAGCTCTTCCCTGATCAGCCAAAGATTGAAAGCTTACTTTGGCGCATTGAATTTGGCAAGATATGCTCATTCTATGATGTTGGTATCTGAGCAACTTGGGTTTTCTGGCTATTTGAATACTGTTTACAAATTGTCGAAGAATTTAGCGAGGGTTTTGGAGGGGGTTATGGGCATCCATTTGGAAACTATTGGGTCTTCTGCTAAGAAGAGTTTTGAGACTGTGCAATTGATCGCTAAAGCTTTTGTTTTAACGAAACAGTTCTATCAAGTTGCAAGCTTTTTTATGTGCCATGGTGTATTTGAAGCTTTTAGGATTGCATCCGTAAAGCGGCCATTTACAGAGAAAGGAAAGGATGGGGAGAGAGGAAAAGATGAAGAGAGAGAAAATAATGAGGTTTCTTTGAATGGTTCATTTGTTAGAGTCACAAAGGCTCATAAGTCAAATAATTGGATTAGTTTATCACATCATTGTTTCTCTCTTTCTCCTAATTGTGTGCAATTTGAGTTCATTAATCCTTTGCCTTCAAGACCTGCACCTGATGGAGAGTCTTTAGAACCATGTATCTCTGAAGTACTATGCTTGTCACTTCCTATTTTTGTAAAGGTATTATAATTTTGTTGTAAAGAATGTAAATCGATGTATTTGTAGATATTTAAGTTAAATGAGAAAATCTTTGGGACAGAGTAGATTCAATGGTCTTCTGTTGATTTTGCAGTTATGGGTTGCATTGTACTTTTGTTGGCCCTTTAAAAACTTACATACCCAGATTAGATTTGTGGAAATTCATGTATTGGGCCAGAGGAACCAAATTGAAATTTTGAAGAAAACCCTTGAAGACTACAGCAACTGAATATTATGAACAGCATATTGTCGTTATCATGAACAAATACCTGAGCAGAGACAATTTAGCACAGACCTGATAATGTCTTTAGTAAAAATAAAGTGAAGCATGTAGTACCAAAATTTATATGCTTTGTGAGCATGTATTTTTTTGTTTTGTTTTGAAACAACAAATAACATAAATAGGAATTTGCTTTACTTATGTAAAAATTCTCTTATGTTTATGGACAGTGCGCTCTTTGTACTATTATATGCATATATGGACTCTGATCATGAATGTGAAGTGTTGACATGATGGCAGATTGTGTTAAGAAGAAAGCTGATTCCCTAGTTTTCTTTTATACATGATAAACTACTAGTAAGCATGATCTATGGGGACTATCTCACCTTGATGATGAGCATTTTTTCAATAAATTACTTTCCAAGCCATGAGGATCAATAAAGTTTAAAGGTCCAGTCAGAATGTATATGTCTACTTGACGGGGTAGGTTGGATTCAAGACATAGTCAATTTTTTTGGAGGAATGCATTTATGGTGTTTCAGTAATAACCAAGTGCCCATGATAATATTATATCGCTTGATAGGAATTGTTTAATACCTTCATGTACTGAGATAAACATGTTTATATGATAGATGAGGAACCACAGAAAGTGATCGCCAGAAATTTTCAAAGGAGGTGCTTTTTTGCCCCATTAGTCTTGTGACATCTAACGGATCCCTCATTGATTTGGTTTGGATTTTTCCGTATTGATTTCCTTTTAATTGCTGTCAATTTCTGGCAGATGTTGTTTCTAGAAGGCTTGCTTGTGTTATGACTACACTGAATTGCATGCAACCTGTAAATGCGAATCACTCGTGTGTGTGTGTGTGCGTGCACTCGTGTGTGTGCATGTGTGTGCACACACGCATGTGTACATGCATGCATGGGTGAAGTACATTAAATGGGAAATGAAAATGGAGTTGATTCTATAGATGGGAAAAAAATGTTCATGTCAGGGATGATATTACGGGAATCATTTAAAATTTTTATATACAAGGCAGATGCTACTGTTATGGTCAATAGAGGGGCACCCCAAATCTTTGGAGATGTATAGTTTAGGGATATTGGTGGAATAGGAGAAAAAAGGTGGAGCGAGGAGTGCTTTTGACTCAAGGGTGGGCGAAGTAGGAGGACAAAGGAACAACAAGGTGCTTGTGTTGCCACTAGCTTGCATACACATGTGATGGTGGAAATCTTCCCTTTAAAGCTGGATTTCATGTTGATTCAGGAACTGTACTGAGTTGGGTGATGAAATTCTAGTCAATGGAAGGACCTAGTAATCGTTAGGTGAATTATTTATTCAAAATCCAAGGACATGTTCTTTGTCCAAAAGAAGTATGCAACAGAGTGTGATAAAGGGGGGGAGACTTTATGATCCATTTGGACATGTAGAATATGGAAGATAGAGCACATTATTTTAATGCTTTCTTTCATATAGTTTGCAAGATAGTATTGGTGTAGTGAATCCTAGTAGGCTGTAATGGGAGGGATTGTGCTTGAAGCTTAAGAAAGGAGTATGAGAAAAGGACGTCGAGTCAGTAACTAGTTTCCAAGTATTGTGGAAAAACAAAATGGAGATAGGGGAAAGGGGAAACGGAGGCAGGAATGTGGAAGTCTCGACAAATTTGCCTTTACAATATACATGTCAAAGACTAGAGGATTGGAGCAAAGATTTTGATTTTGGAGACTTGGATTGTAGTAGGAGAGGGTGAATAACTAGAATTGAAGTATTTTGTGAGGATCGGTTAAATTTGGCTAAAGAATCTTCAATTATTATCTTGAAAAATGATTGTTGACTTAAATTTCCCCCCCCATAAGGTGGAGAGAAATTTGTATAACACCTGTTAAAACCTAAATGATGCAGGTTATATGAGGCCTAGGCCATATGAAAAGAAGTAAAGCCACACATCAAAACAACTTCGGAAAAGATGTTCCAGCATTGGAAACCCATATGATGGTTTTAAAATCTATTTCAGTCCTTGATTATAAAATTTGAAGCTTTTAAAATGATGCAGATATCGTGATCTGTGAATTCTTGAAATGAATGGTCCAGATAGTGTGTTACAAGATACACTATTTCTAGGGCTTGAAATCCGTTATTTTCATCCATAATTTTCGAGGTCGAGATGATTAATTTGAGGGTTCTCTGACGATGGAGTTCAATTTCTGATGAGATTTGAGGTGCTACTTTACTTTTTTCATAAGGCCTAGGTCTTATGCTAACCTTTTTTAAACTGAAAATGGCTTATTCATTTTTGTACCAATAAGAGTATAACGTAGACATGAAACTATTGTATCTTCAAAAAATTGCATATGGCTGAGCCTGAGTTTTGACCGGTCATGAATGGTACTGATTTTTGAGTCCTCCAATCAGGTTGTGCGTTTTGGTTGGAGGAAACCTCCTCATTGAGGAAGTGGGTCTTAGTTTTGGCTTGAGATCAGGTTTTTCTCATTTAGGAAGTGGTTCTTAGTTTTGGCCTGAGATCAGGTTTATGATCACTCTCAAGTTTCAGGATACTTTGACAACTTGAAATAGGCTTTTAAAGAGCTTACTCCTAGTCCAACGGATGATTTTGTGGCTCAATGGGTCCGTCTTGAATCTTGATGCACATTTTTTGGGTCTTGTTTTACATGTATGTTTCAATATGGTCTTATGACACACCACACGCCCGCATGTTTGCCTTATTCAGTATTATGACTACCGGGAACATTATTTAAAGCTTTTAAGGGGTTTATACTGATTATCTATTACTGTTGTTATCTTTATTATTTGGAAGGATATTGGCCCGTGGGCTTTTGGGACAATATCAGCCCAAGAGTCCAGATTGCTCCATAACGATGTTTTTCATTTAGAAAAGCTTCATTTTTTTTTTGAAAATTTCAAGTCAAAACACATGAAAAATCTTTGAGAAATCAAATCAAATCCATGTCTTAAGGAATTGGTTCTCTGTGAAATATCAGGGGAGGTTACAAGAGGAGATTTGATTCTATATTGTGGACTTGTGTTTAATTATTTGAGTTCAGGATCTTGGACATGGAGTCATTAGCCAGATGGCATCAGGGATGCTATTATCTTTGTGGTTTTGTTACATGTATTATGTGAAATGTGATTAAATATTTGTGTTATTATTTTTTTGACAGAAATTACCTTATTATTTTCAAATTTTGAAAATTTCCTAACATTCAAATTTTTTAATTATACACTTGATTTATAGAAAATATATAACTAATTACATACGGACCGAGGTTGCTGGTGCCTGGCCTACTAGGTGCTGCCTACCACTTCTTGAAACATTGGTTTTACCATATACACACCCTTTATATTGTATTGATGCATATTATTAATGGAAAGGAAAAGACTATCATGAATTATTGTTTCTTCTTATTATTGTTACAGCAAAAATTACTACTTTGTAATAATAATTAAAAGGTGATAATTAGTTGCGCCCATTTGTTTTGCCATCTGAACAATTGGTTTTGCCATATACATTGGTTTAGCAAAACCACTGTGAAACATTGATTTTACCGTATACACATCCTTTATAGTGTATTGATGCTTATTATTAATGGAAAGGAAAAGACTATCATGAGTTATTGTTTCTTATTATTGTTACAGCAAAAATTACTACTTTGTAATAATAATTAAAAGGTGATAATTAGTTGCGCCCATTTGTTTTGCCATCTGAACAGGTGGTTTTGCTATTCCTACTGGTAACATGGGCTCAAAATAGTGGAACAGGGGTTGGCTATGATTCTGCGAATTTACTGGGAAGTGCTTATTTCAAAAACCTGGGCATAATAGCAATCCCCTTATTTCATTATTGGCGAAAAAAGTATGTTCTTTTGATCTTATCAGGATACAAGAGAAAACTGCTTTCAGGATACAAGAGAAAAAACTGCTACTCTTCTGTGGACAGATACTTAACATAGATCGCTGGGCTTTATCTATCAGGGAGAGTGTGACAAATGAATGAATGATTTATTGACGAGAGAAAGCTTCTGCCCATTTCTTTACACACAAGAGTCGGTTGCACATGATTTCATGGTATCTGAGCAATATTAGCCTTGTTACGTGCTGGTCTTGATGGTCCAGATTTTCTCGAGACATCCGACAGCTCCCAAATTCCTTGTCACATTGTTAACAAAATTGGATCTGGACCATCTGTTTCAAAAGCTGGCGATTGGGGTTGGAAGCCCAAATGAAGATATACAAACTCACCAATACAAATACCTGATATTCAAGCGAGGGCGTAGGGATTTAAATCCAAGGTTGGAAGAGCTGGTTTGATTTGAAGGAATTCACACCACTGATGTGGGAGAATATGTCTGAGTCAACAAATTCGTCTTCTCTCTCGGCATGATCTGCCTAGACAGCAAAAACCAAACCAATTAAACCCATGTTCACCAAAGAGGTGTATGTACAAGGTTTTGTACTATGCTATGCATCTGGGTTTCATACGCTCTGCTAGTACATGCCCAACCATCCGATGTTAACAATGGGCAGTTGTGTATTTCTGTTTCTGCACTCAAAAGTCTGTCAAAAATTCTTCGGAAATAATGGGATTACCTCAACTGTCCCTTGGCAACATCTGACTGTTGGGAGGTGCTAGCAAACTGCAGGAGTACCAAATGCTAATAAAGCTACACTGTGCTTTGCTTATGTACAATTATCTTATTTTCGAAATGTTGGGATCAAAGCTTACTTCATCCCCATAATCATGCTTAGCTCCATTGGGTTTCATCACTGCATCTCCGAATTCATCGTTCTTTGCGAATCGCCCTCGCACTCGCGGTCTGCTATCAGCCAGGGTTTTTCGGCATGCATACTGTGTGATCTCTCTCATAGTCAGATATGAATTCAAATAAAAAAGAAACGAAAAAGAAAACAAGTTTCAAAAGAGAGAGAAAACGCAAAAAAACCAACATACTGGTTCCAAAACAAAGTGAATGTTACCTTTATTTTCTTGTTGAAATTCCTTTCATTTTTCTTCTTTATGTATCTGTTGATCCTTTGTTTCCTCTCCTCCACAGAGTAGCGTCCCACTTTGAAGTTGGTTTCTTCCAAGGTGGCGTTCACATCTGAGCCTAATGGACTCCCACAACCGTTCACCATATGGCTTTCATGTAAGCTCTGTACATCAAAACCCAACATATATATCCAAAAGCTTTTTGTCAAATCGTGGTGTCTTATGGAATCTGTTTTTCTGTAGGTAAGGTGCAAACAAACAGCAAGAAGGATGCAACTACATGTATAGCCCCCATTAGAGTTATGCAAACAAACAGCAACAAGATTGCAACTACATGTCTATCCCCCATTAGAGTTATAGGGAACGTTTGGTTGTTCGGATATTTGCATGCTTAGCTACATAACCGGAATCGACAATTTGGTTTTTTTTTTTTTAATTAGATTTTTAAGAAAACAATTCGTCTACAATTGAAATGTGAAATTTCAGTAGAAAATGTATCCCAAAATGCATGATTTTGGATTAAGGCGTTCAATTCCTCTCTCATTGAAAAGTGAAATTTTAGAAGAAAATGTACCCCAAAATTCATGATTTTGGATTAAGAAAGAAGTTCAATTCCTCTCTAATTAAAATGTGAAATTTAAGAAGAAAATGCATCCCAAGGAGTTCAATTCCTCTCTCATTGAAATGTGAAATTTCAGAAGAAAAGGCTTCCCAAAATTCATGATTTTGGATTAAGAAAGGAGTTAAAAATAATATTCAGGGTTAGTTAGGGTATTATTACCTAAACCAACCATCAAATTTTTTTCTTTTTTTAGTTTAACAATAAAAATCAAATTAAGAAGTAACATTGTTAATATCAATTGCTAACTACTCAGGCTCAAGCCCAACTCCTTGCATAGAAATAACTCTTCGTTACATAAATTATAAACAAGAGGGGAATAGAAGATAATTAAAAAATAAATATTATAAAGTCTTGAGGTATTTTCGAAATAATCCAAAAAATGGGAGAGTATAAAAATAAGTATTTATAGCCAAAAACATTTCTCAATCTCAAAACATAAAAACATCACTAATAAATTACTTTTTTTTTTGAAGCTTTTTATGATTGTTATTTTTATTAATATCTCCAAGTCGGACACCCAACCCCGGGTAACTCGGACTCGGCACATATTGCGCCCAATTGCTTGGCACTTGGATTCTGTGTCAATGATGTATACATGTTTGTGTCGTATTTGATGCATCGATAATTCGATACGCACATGTCAGCATTTTGACGGTTTTTTTTGGACACTTTAAAACCTGTGGGACATTAAAAAACTACCGATCTTTCAAAGCACTCTCCATCACCTTCCAAACCGGTAATTGTACTGCAATGAACATTACAAAAACATTATATTTTGGATTGTTTTGGAGGGTGAAGATGATAAGTGAAATTACTGTTAAATTTCGTCTATAGGCATTGTAAAGAGTTTTTTTTGAGTAAATAAATACTATAAAATGTCTATAGGTGAAAATAAACAGTAATTTCATCTGTGTTTATCACCATCCAAACTTCATCGCACTGACACAGTTGTTCGATAGTGTTTATCAACTAAAACAAAAATATTTTATCGGTAATAAAAAGAAGATCATAAAATTTAAGATCCCCCACCCAAAGGTAAAAGACTACTACTTACGTCTAAAAATCTCAAAAAGCTACCTGTAAGTCCCCGGCACTGAATGCCTGTCGCATCACTTCCTGCCCAAACTCAAACTCCGGCGACCGAACCCTTGGGCTTGTAACGGATGGAATACTCCCAAATTCTGACGGAATATTCCCAAACCCCGCCGTCAAGCCTGATGTCCCCATGCTCTCTGTGACGAATTGCCCCCTCCCAACATAACTGGAACCACAGGGTAAAACGGAATATTCCGACCCCACTAACGGCGAGAGGCACTCTTCCTTTGCATCAAATGGCGGCCCGAACATATAAGGCAACGGCAGCGTAAGGGCCCCGTCAAACACTGTGACCCCGTTAAATCCGACCATGATGTCGTTAAGTGAAGAATCGCCGTTATCTTCGGGAGAGTAGGACAAGAAGGAGGGCGTCGACGGAATGGAAGGGTGGGTTGACGGCGAGGCGCGCATGGGGATGGAGAAATGGGAGGGGAAGTTGACGGCGTTAGGGCCTTGGTTGACGGATGGTAACGGTGCCGTTGAGGCATGAGTGAAGGCGTTACCATAAGGCTGGTGGAGGAAGGTGGCCGCCGCCTCGTCAGAGGCGTTGGACGAGGAGACATCTGACGCCGTGAATGTGTCGGGGAATATTCCGTCGGGACTGAAGTCGAAAAGTGGGGCCTTAACGGCAGATGTAAGGCCATCCTGTGTGGTGAACAGAGGGAAAAAGAGAGAGATCTACTTAAGAATAACTAAATGGTTATTTAAAAAATATATATATATTAAATATTGAATATTTTTTAACGCTTGCTTCCTCTTGAGACATTATATTTCAAAAAAAATTGAATATTGAGTTTTTTTTGTAACACGTACTTGTTTAATTTTGAGACATTATTTTTCGAAATGCACAAAAAAATGCAATTTGGGGGTTTGTAAATGGACGTTACTCGATGAATTAAACGTGTTACATCTCAAAATTTGGTGTCCCAAAATTATTTATAGGCTGGGTTTTAATTGAAGGAGTCAATAGATAGAATACTCCCGCAACATGTGTATGAAATCGTTCGCCTATTCTTAAGTTATTTTATAGTGATTAGAAAAAAACTGGTCGATCAAACTAGTTACCCACTTGTTCCAAGTCGGATAATCCGACTTCATGAATTAACATAAAACAAAAAAAAAAACATAAAAATGTAAAACTTAAATTTTAATTGTTTATTTATTTATTTATTTATTTTTGTTATAGAATGTTCATCATCTTTGAGCTTTTATTCCAATCGTAAAAAAGGGACGTACCTTCAATTATTCTTTAAGGGAAAAGTTTATATAGAGCCGAGACTCTAAACAATCAAGTTAAAACCTACCGAAAAAATTTCACTAGAAGAGGGTGTTTTGATGCCCAAATATCTTCAAATTGATCATCTCAACATCAAGATGCTTAGACATGAGAAAAAAATGGATTTGAAGTTTTGGAAGTAGTATATTTTGTAACGTATTTCTGGATCGTCAATTTTCAAGAATTTCAAGTTTTCATATATCTGTCGATCTACATTATTTTTGAAGCTTTAAACTTTAAAAATAAGGATGAAAATATATTTTAAGGCTATCACAAATATTTTCAGTATTAAAACCATATCTCTCAACACTATTTGGAGGTAGGTTCTACTTTGATTGTTTATAGCCTGGGCTCTATACAAACCATACCCTTATTTTAAAGAAGGATTTAAGTTCTCAAATAACTTTAAATAATATTTTTAGGGAAAATTTATAAAGAGGCTATTTACTTTTAATATAACGAGATCACAACCATTTTTGTCCATCGAATTTCAAATCAGATGATTATAAGTGTACTTGTAAGTAAACTCAAACCCTAACGAAAAACTTCTTGAACTTCGTAATACATCCCAAGCCATTGAATCGGACATCTAATGGTTAGGATTAGTCGTGAGTAATAAAGATAAATGGTCTCATAATATACAATCCCATATTTATATGACATCAATCATTATTATTTGTGCTTTCTCTCAACTATTTAGAGTAAGCTAATTTATATAACATTAACATTGACAAAAGAATTTACAAGGTAAAACATTTTGAGTTGGGAAAGGAATTGGATTGTGGCGACAGCACTCCCACACCCTAGGTACTGCGTTGTGATTTACATTCTCATTTATAATTTCGAAACGAGCGGTCCCCACCGGTTCCGATCCAAACCGGATCCGTACGTAATCCGTGTTGCCATTACATGGTTGCAATATGGAAGCACATGTTTTCAAATTGCAATGCGATACCCAAACTCAACCTCAAATTCTAATTACACTTCTTTATGTATCATCTTTCAGAAAAGTAACGTTCTCAGTAGGTAATCAAAGTCCAAAAAATTTCAATAAGCTACCTGTAAATCTCCCGAGCTGATCGCCTGCCTGATCACTGCCGGCCCGAACTCGAACTCCGAAGACCGAACCTGGGGCAGAGGCGAAAGGCATTCTTCCTCTGCATCAAATGGCGACCCAAAAAAACACGGTAATGGCGGCGTAACGGCTCCATCAAACATGGTGATCCCGTTACACCCGGCCATCACCTCCTTAACCAAGTGATTCCTGCTATCTTGAGTTGAATGGGGCGAGCAGGAGGGCGATGACAAAGGCCGAGCTGACGGCGTAGTGAGGAATGGGACAGAGAAGGGTGAGGGAAAGTGGACGGCCTAATAGTCTGCAGTGATGGCTAGCAACGTCGGCGTCAAGGTTCGTTTGACGGTGTTATCATAGAGGCGATGGAGGAGGAGACGTCCGACGCCTTGAATGTGTCGGAGAAACTTCCACTCGGAGCTGAAGCCGAAAAGAGACTGCCGGCAATGAGAGAGAGAGAGAGAAACAGAGGAGAGAGAGAATGAAACCAGTTACAGAGAGAGTAAGATAAATATGGAAGTGTGACAGTGAGAAAGAGAGCTTACAACACTTTTAGAGAGAGATTTGTGCGCGTGTGACAGCCGTTTTTTAGCCTGTAAGATAGCAATTTTTAGCATGAAAGAGATACAGATGTTTTAGAGAGAGAGCATGGCTAAACCAGTCATAATCTATTTTTAATGAAATGCCAGAAAAACTACATTTTTAACGGAAAACAAGATTTTTCACAGAGTAATTCGTTTCAAAAGTTGGTTTTTATTTTCTATTTTTGGGTTGTTAAGCCCAATTTAGTTTTTCTAAAACAATATTTTATTTAATAATAATCATGAAGCCCAATTTAGTTTTCTAAAAAACTGTTATTTAATAATATTTTTGTCAACCCCCTAAAATTGGGTATTTCAAGGAGAAAAAAAGAAGAAAAATCATGTTAGTTCTCATTTCACGCGGCATTCCATTTTTACATAAAACCTCATCCATCCCTTCTAATAAAACCACCCTAATTTTTCAATTTCTTTTGAAAAATCATCTCTGTCAATATGCAAAACTTTTAAAAACCCCTAATTTTTTTTAAAAAAATTTCTTTATGCAAACTCCAAGCAAAGCCGCGTTCTGGAGCGGCGGTTTCTAGTTGGGGTGATGGAAACTGCGGCATCCGAGATTTAATGCTGTTTTGGAAGCCACTGCTTTCAAGTACAGGAAGTGTTACAATTGGTGGAAGGGAATGCAACATCTGGAAACCAGATTCCATCAATTTATAATCACAAGTAGAAACCCATCTCCAATTTATTTTCAAACCATAACCAAAACCAAAATGAAGAGACTTATATGCATGAACCCACTAAGAAAAACAGGAAAAATAAGCAAGATGGTTAAAAACCAGACAATCCATGTTGAGAATGCAAAGGCCAGTGCATACTCAATGGTTTATTTCAAGAATTGCAGGACCTATGAGCTCTGATAAGAGAAGAAAAAGGTGCAATCTTGCCATGGCTCTTTTGCTGAAACCTTTTCCATGACCATGAAAGAATTGCAGGCCCGCAAAAAAGGTGCTTTTCCGGCGACGTCATCAACATTTTCCGGCTTTAGGAGCTTTGATAAGAGAAGAAAAAGAAGCCATTTTGAGCTGTCCTTTTGAACTTGTGGAGACCTAAAGCGAAGAAATCGGTTTCCTGAGAAGAATTCGTGGTATAAATAGAAGAGAGAGAAAGAAGTGAAGAAAGAGAGATGTTTTGCGGTGAGCCGTTTGGGGCGCAGGATTGAAACACGACCCTGGATATTCATATTCATAGGGGTGATTTTTGGAAAGGAAAGCGTTTGTATAAGGGTGAGGCTACAAACAATCAAATTGAGGCGTACCTCAAAAATTTGCTAGAAGGAATTATTTTGATGCTGAAAAACCCTCAATTTGATGGTCTCGTCAAGATATACGGACATGATAAGAAATAGATTTCAACTCTTGGAAATAACGCATCTTGTGTTGTACTATCTCGATCGTCAATTTTGTCAATTTTCAAGATGTTTTGAATCTTTAAATTTTGTAATTAGAGATGAAAATAAAATTCCAAGCTATCATAAAGATGTGTGCTTAATATATTTCGGTACTATTTGAATTTGTGCCTTACTTTGATTGTTTAGCTCCTCTACTTTATACAAACCACACCCTTTTGGAAAAGCATGGTGTTGTACGGCAAAGGGTAGATAATGGGTCCAATGAGAAAGGAAAATTACTCAAAAAGGAGGTGCGAGTTGGTTCAAGTAGAAGGCTAAAAATGGGTAAAGGGCAAGTCCAAAAAGACATGTTTGGAAGTAAAGAGAAAATATTGAGGACTTATGACCTCATTGAGGGTATGGCATTTAATAAAGCAGAATGGCGGACTAGGAATTGTATAGACGACCCCAAATAGTTGAGAAAATGGTCTAGTGATGATGATGATGTTGGGTTCATGTGGCCTTTAAAGGCTTTATGAGTGCTTGTAAAATGAAATGATAGAGTGGAACGTGAACTCAATGGGAGTGTGGTCCCTCGTGGGCCATACTAAGCAAACGATGTTTGTAGATACTGAACTTTGCTTGATGATCTAGGCCAGTCGGTTGGGAAGAACCTATGTTACCTGGGCATAAAGAACAAACCGAGAAGGGTTCTAATGGGTTAGCCTTTGATGAGGTCCGAGAATATGCTCGGATGAGTGAGCTGAGGGACTGTGTGACCCTTGTGTGTGATGATGGCCTGCAGAAACAGGGGCCAAATCCTCATCCATGTGCCATCACACGGCATGCATATCGATAGATCGTTCGGGAAAGCCAACAATCCACCTTTTAGGGTGAAGCGTATACATGTGCGAGAGATGCCCCTATGCACCATAGGAGCTATGGTCGCATCGGGTCTAGATGATCTTGACTCGTCTTTAGGGGAGGACCTGAATCCACAGACTGGGATTGCGATCCCTTGGCTCATCGGCTGGACTTTGGTGACTCGCTAATGAGCCCCTGCTTGGACTGTGAGTCATAGGAAATACTGGGTCGGTCTGATAAAGCAAATGTAGTTTGTAGTCCACAGTTGAAGGTGGAGTGCCCCATGATTGTGATCCTAAACCGATATGTATCTTTTCACATCAAAGTATTTAATTTGTTGTTTTATAATTGG